TGAGGTGCTTAAAGCTTCCAGTAAGTACCTCATATTTTCAACATCTTAACTGCCCTTACGTTCCCGCAGTTTATTTATGAGCTTCACTGAAATTCTCAGCATTTTCTTCATTACTCAGAACATCTGTAAAGTTCCTACAATTGTTGTGAAATTAATGGAACTTCGCTGAACATCTCTAATATTTCATAAAGTTAATTAGGGTAGAGGACTACTTCGGCCTAAGCGCCCATTTTGGGCCTATCAAGCAGAAGACATCAAATAAATCAATGATTTCGGTGTTAACAGGTAAATTATGCGATTGGTGTGATACTTTAGTTCAAATGCTACAGAACGAAGTCAATAAGAACGCGTGATATGAATGTTTGTACCCAATATTCTCAAATACAAATGAAGCGCTCCCACTGAATCAATCTTTATCTTCATCCGATAGGCCGAAGTGAATTCATTGGCGTTACAATGCGTTAGGCCGAGTTTAGAATCCGTGGACCGAGTTTGGTGTCACGAAGCAGTGTAAGATTTTCAACAATATCTCAAAAAATTGTTTCTCTTTATCAAATCTTACGGGTGCTTATGGTACGTACGGAAAGGTAAATAAATTTGGAAGCCATCAGTAATAATAACATTCCATTTGGTGCTAAGCTGCGCTAGATTAAGAAAGACTAAGTGCGGGTTGCGATTAATAGGCCGGAAATGGGGTAGTTTACCCTACAAACTTGAAAAAAATCATCATTCCTTAACACTCCGAACACGATGCCTCCAGTAAAATGTGTAACTGCAACTTTAACTAATCATATTTTTATTACTTTATATTTACATAAAGCTTGAGTCTTTTAATATCTGGACGGACTGTTTATTTTACTGCAGTGCTCCTAGCTGTTGGATCTCGAATGTTTTGACAGCAGTTTGTTTTGAAATGTTTCCTATTTCAGTGCTGAAAAATTTTTCACGATTTATTTTGTTTAAAAGAAGTTATGATGGAAGCCGCGAACCGAAAATTAATTTTGGACACCCACTTGGAAAATCTGACGTGGTCAGGTTCAAAAATAGCGTAGTCGTTGTAATTGGCTAAATCAACCGTGTGCAGTGTTCTCAAACGTTTCAGTGAGCGGCATACTATCATAGAGGTAACTCTAAGACCACTGGGTCCCGAAGAAAATCATTATTATTTTTGGCTCACTCAGTACCAGAACAACGGTCCCAAGCAGTCCCAAGCTATTTCACTCACCCCTGCATGTTCTGCATGAATCCACACACCCCTGATGTTATCTGTCAAACTTTCATAGCGAATCAAAACAAACATAGTGTAGTAATAGAATTTCAACTAGAATAGGGTACGTTAATCGTTTGCTTGGGACCAATAGGCTACTAAAGTGGTGAGCCAATTTAAAATCGTTAGTTTCGTATTGATTGTTGATACTATCGATCGGCAGGATCATAGCAAGCGTCGTAGTGGAACTAAGGATCGGAAGCTGCATTTGAAGGTGTTGAGAACGGTTAGGGCAAACCCAGGGCTGTCGGATTATGATATCGCCAAGAAATTCAATGCCAGCCAATACACCGTCAGAAGGATTCGACAGCGAGAAGGATTCCGACCTTTTCGGCCCAGTAAGCAACCAAACAGGGCACTGAAGCAGAATCTATAGTGGCCAAAAGACGTGCCCGAAAGTTGTACAATAAGGTTCTTACAAAGTACGAAGGATGCATCCTCATGGACGACAAAACGTACGTGAAGATGGATTATGGTCAACTTCCCGGACAAAACTTCTATAAAGTCACTGGCCAAGGTGATGTCCCTAGCAAATTCTAATTCGTTTTTGCCGATAAAGTTGCAAGAAAGCTTATGATCTAGCAAGGTATTTGCAACTGCGGACAAAAAAACCCAGGTTTTCGTAACAAACAATACTATGGATGTACAAGCAGGAGTGCCTAAAAAACGTATTCTTCCGTACATTAAGGCTCGCAATGGACCTGTAAAGTTTTGGCCTGATTTGGCAAGCTGCCACTACAGCGGAGAAGTTCTACAGTGGTACCGAGACAACGGTGTAGATTTCTTCGAAAGGACATCAATCTACCCAACTGCCCTCAATTCCACCCAATTGAGAAATATTGGGCAATTGTCAAACAGAAGTTGAAGAAGAGTGGATAGGTGACTAGGGATGCTACAGAGATGAAGAGTTGGTGGAACAAAACGGCCGCTCAGGTTAGCCGACAGAGTGTCCAAAATATGATGAGTGGTATTCGAAGAAAAGTTCGATATTTCATCAAAACCAGTTATGCTACGTACTGTTGAGGCCATTACCACTAGTTAGAAAACCTCTAGTGCTACATGCATTTCACAACCAAGTTTCTGGTATCACATATTGTTCAACATTCAATGTTTACAATTCCTGTAAATGTAATAAGATTAATTACACACTATCGAAACTAAACGTTATTTAAATACTTGTTGCATAAAATTCATTTGGCGCTTTCATATACCGGAAGTCACCACCCAGACAACCAGTAGTCGTATAACAATGTGCAGACAGTATCGTAAATTGCTACAGTTTAAGTCAAAATCGCATATGAGAATGGCATACATCGCATTATGTATAATTTAAATCGTATAGAATGCAAATTTCCGACCTATATGCTATGATTCATTTTTCCGTCGTACTGTATCACAAATCAAATCGGGTTACATCGTAAAACTTTTCAAAGTGAATTTGTTATTACAGATTAAATCGTATATGTTGTTAAATCAACTCGTTTAAAATTAAATTTAAATTTGCACGTATATGGCCTCCACTTTTGTACGTATAAGCCATTTCTTTGCATTCTATACGATTTGTCGGTTTGTATATAATATATATGTATATATATGTTTGTATATCACGAAAACAACTTTGAATATACGTGCATTCTGGTTGTCTGGGCATCTTGGATTCCAAATTGGCGTTATCGACTTCTGGCCTCTACACGTCGTTCCCATTCCGAAAATACCCATATTGTAGGGTATTCAAAATTTCATCACAAACTAGAAAATACCATCTTGTATTCCAAAATGGCATCATCCATCGATTTCCGGCCCCTAAAGAGACTGAATTGGGTCAAGAGGCAACATCTTATCCATTTGACAGGTCTTCTGCTCGATTGGAATAACTATGACTTTGCCAGATAATCGATTGTTCAAATTTTGCCATGTCGTCTATTTATAAATTCTGCCTCTTTAGTCATCCCCGCCCAGAAAAAAAAATCGTAGTAAAAAAACTGTGCTATTTGTAGAAACCGTTTAAAAAAAACTGTATAAAGAAGACTGTTTTTTTTTTTTTTCTTTGGTTTGTTTTTTTCCGTCGATCTTGTTTTCCGTGCTGAGCACCAATGCTACCGACGTGCCAGGAAGGCAGCTCCCACACCTGGACCCTACCTATCGACCCATCAACTCATGAACCGGGGACCAACGGCTTTACTTCCCATCCGAAGGAAGGCGTGATCAGAGATGTTATGCCTCAGAACATCCCGGCGGCGCCGACTGGGAAAGAACCCAGGCCTGCTGGGGTGAGAGTTAATCACGCTCACCACTACACCACCGGCGCCGTTATAAAGAAGACTTGAATGTATTCACTTTGTTGTCACTAATAATCGCTCCAGTCACGTGACGCGTCACCTAATGACAAAAATAGTTCCCCTTATTCTGTAAGTCACGTAATTCTCTGTCACCGGTGAGGTGACAATTGTCACCTCATGTCAGGTGACTCTCCATGCAAATCAAATGGAGAGTCACCTCACACAAGGTGAGATTTGTCACCTCACCGGTGAGAGAGAGTCACGTGACTCGCATAATTGGGGGGAGTGACTCAAGCGACACTCATAATCGCTCCAGTCACGTGAAGTAACGATGATAATAGACCCCGATACCTGCTTTTTTGGTAATAAAGATACCATCTATTGTCACTAGGTATTGGGAAAAAGAATCGCGGCTAAGACTCCATCCGCAAACAATGGTACCTCTCGGTATAAGAAACTTTGTGGAACGCAAAAACGGGATCTAAATTAGTAAAAAAAATCACTATTAAACTAATAAAAGTCGTGTTTGTCCATTTTCCGCATACCATTTTCAAACAAACCACCTTGCCTCCTTACGTATTATGTTTCGTGCTACCACAGTGCAAAATCGTACTTTTATTAAACGCTCTACAAGTTGTATTTTATTTCTTTAACAATCAAGACACAAAGTACTTATTATAAAATCTTTCTAAAACATTCACTTCTGCTCATCATTTGCCTCCAGCAGCAACTCTCGAATGGTTTGAAGAATATGTTTAACGTTATCATTGTTGACCAGCCCCATAGGTTCTAGTTCTCCACTTCCAGTAGTATTCTTTGGTTCTGTCTGCTTCGAATTCCGGCAGTCACAATTGCACTCGTCCGGTTGGCTTGTTGAAGTAGTTGTCTCTTCCGTCGTTGTCTTTTCCGAATCCTCCGCTACTATCACCATGCCGTGGGGATCCTTAGAACCACTTTCAGACGACGATGCTGCTTGAGCTAGTTGCTCTTCGTACGATTTCAACTCCTGGGATACCGAATCAATATATTCTCGCATTCGGCGAACAAGCTCTCTCAGACGTTCCGCCGAATTTTCTGTATCGGATTCCGATCGTTTGACCTTGACGGTGCTCGCTGCGTGGGCCGATCCAGGAAGGATCAGGCAAGATTGAAGTAGTGACAGGGAGAGAAGGAATTGAATCAGATTCATGTTTCGGTATTTCATAACTTTTGACGGCAGGTAAGTTATAAGCCTACTTAGTCTAGAGTTCAGTCTCATTGTTGATTTTACATGGTACCTAATACAGCTTTTTACAGCACTGCATTGGAAACATTCGGAAACTTGGTTCAATCGACTGTAGTAGTTCAACGATAAAATCGATGAAGAGAATCGATCATCGCAGATAGGCCCTTATGATTCTGAACGCCAGAAATATTTCATGATTGTTCGGATATAAGATCAAGACGCATTCTATATTAGTGACGATATTTATTAATGCTTATCAATCGACAAATATATAGGATAATCATCATGGAATACCATTTCCATTAGTTTGCGTTCTACGAATAGTCCTGTGAAGTATCTAGTTAACTTTTTTTAAGGTAAATCAAGAGAAAATGCTGCTGTTTATGACTACCAGTAACACGCGATTCTTAAAACTCTTTTTTGTTTTGCGACGGATTAAAACCTAAATGAACATTTTTTGCAGTTAACGTTCGTGCAACACATGTTGAATGTAGTATCAATTTGGGGTTTATTTTAAATCATAATATTGCCATATTCTATCCGCTGTATTTATTCATGTGGTCAATGTAAAAGAGGTTTACAAATAATAATAATAATAGGAAAAAGAAGTTAAAACTACAAATAGTAGATTAGCTGCGTAGGTACCTGCTTCATCAATATATTGATACTGTTAAAGAACCTGTGCCGCACATCAAACCTCAACACGATTTCCTTTTCAGCGTGTCTCATAATAGAAGCTATTGGGCCGATACATTTGCCCATTACCGCCGCTGCTGTTGCCTCCGATAGGATGCAGCTCGTCTCAGTACGGAGCGTACCGGTGAGTGGGCGAAGGTCCTCGCAAACCTTGTCGTCGGTCGTCAAACGAATCCCGGCTAAAGTCCTCATACACTCCGAAGCGACTGATGCTGCTTCCATTACGACTGGTTGGCGGCGGTGTGCGACGACTGAAAATAGAGTCGTAGTTGCTGCTGCGGCTACTTTCTACCGCACTGCGACGCATCAACGGTGGAATCGGTGGCATTGGTTCGCGACTTCTCAGGGGGGGAAAGTCACGGCCGCGGATTCCATACCGCCGTTCGAACAGATCTCTCGGGTCATCGTAACGGTCGTAATAGTCAAAGGTGTCCTGGGATGTAAGAAAAACCAATATTTAATTTTTGAAATCTAGTTTAGGTTCCGAAGATGCTTTCATATGTCAATCACAGTCGGCAAATATTCGATAAAAATTAGGTAATTTAGTCTAGATCATATCGCGAAACATCACGCCGGAATAAACGGAATATTCTACCGACTTGCGAACACACACGCACACTACACGAATAGAATGAGGAAAGATACGAGATTTTTTGGAAGCATCACTCTGCCGAAAGTTTCAAATGCGGTGAATTGACTACATACACTTCTTACCCCGTATGATCGGTTCGGACTACTTTTATAAAAACCAAAGCGGTATTAGCAAAAACCCGACGGATGTAAGAAACGGATATAGATCGGAAATGGATTTCTTCGTGGCCAGTATCGGTTTAACACAAACAATGCAGCGGTTTGCTTTGCCATTACTAGCAAATTCAGCAATAACCCGAATTATTTCGCCATTTATTTGATGAAAATGATTCCCCTAGACACGTGTTATTTAAGGTGATACGGCACGTCATGCAACAATGGCTGTCCCCGTGATCATTAAATTAACGTGCTTTGGTATGTGTACGAAATACATCTTCCTACAAAAATAGTAAATTACTAATTACATACTTTAAAAAATTGGCAATTGTATTTTAACACTTTTCCATCAAAATATTGCCAATTCATTCACGCTCCGGGCATGAACTTCCAATATTCGTTTTGGACCTGTGTTCACTAGCTTGGAACCGTATTACAAACAATTACGACACGTGCGTCTACAAGCACTTTCAAGTTAATTCATTTTATATCTGTTTAAATAATAAAACGCAATAGAACACGGATAGAAATCCCCTTATAGCTTTTGGCAAATTTCTATTGCTGATTATTCATAAAATGTATAAGTTAACTAATAGCAGATGCCTTGCAAAAAGTTAATGAAGATCATGTGTCAAAAGAAATATATAAATGGTCACACGTACCTTAGGTCCTATGTGGTTTGTCTTATGGAATGTAAAAGGCTGTGTTTAGGCAAAAATGTATAAGTAAAACAAATGAATAAAATAATTAAAAATTAATCCCATTTAACGATTTCCCATTTTCTGGATGATTTTATTACCTTGACATATAGTTAACAGTGTAATCTAACATCATGCTTAGCTAAACACTTTAAAAAGGTGTTTTTTGCCGTGAAGTTGAGAAGAAAACGTTAGAGAGGGTCTAGACCCTCTCTAGGAAACATCATACGTCCTGATTATTTCTTACATGCTATCCTTTGAACTGCCAACACTGGCAGTTTTCTTCTATTTTTTCGTGTTTATTGAGTAGTTTGTGAATTGTTCTCTCCAGGGGGACTGTATCCCTGTCATCCACATACAGATTTACTATACTGCCTATAATCCCATATCAGTCCCATATGGAAAAAGTAGGCCTTGAGAAAATGGCAGCCGAAGTTAGGAAGTGCAATTCCCATGTAAATAATTGTAAATTAATTGGTAAGTTTTTCAAGTGAAAATCTGTGGCAATGAGACTTGCATGTTTTGTTATATCAGCGGAAAATATGGCAATTCAAAAAGCAGACTTTTAACGTGAACTATAATAGGCGAATGAATTTCAGGATGGGACTGATATGATTATTTTGCTTGATGGGACAAACTGACCTGATGTTGTTTTCACATTTTCACATATGAAACTGGTATGCGATTATAGGCAGTATAGCTCAATCTGACACTTTTGGGCATACTGATTACTGACAGCGGTAAAACTCACGGAGGCACGATAGAACAAAACAACTTACTCTTTCACACTTGCATCGCAGTGGAAAGAATAGTCTGTTGCAGTTATCCTCTCCCACTATATTCATCACATTGATGTGACCTTCGTCGAAATGCATGATTGTTGCCAGCGTGGTTATCTCTATATGTGGCAAAATATGGTTTGTTTGCATATTGGCTCTTCTGCCCCTTTCAAATGTTAGTCTAGAAATCTTCTATATATATTCTATAGAAAAGATATCTATAAAGTTTTTTGACTTTTAATCGGCGCACACATCCATGTGTGCTAAACAATCTTCTGCCAAGAAGGAGGGTTGCTGATGCCGCCACCATTGGTGGTGTCAGCACTGTAGCCTACAGTTTTTACACAGACAAACAGACATAACACTCGAAAGTTCTTCATCGAACAAGCATTTAAAAGTATCGCAGTTAGTAGTACCGCCACCTGTGGCGCGCATAACCAATTCCCTCAATTACAATAAACATTTAATGCCTACATGTACGCATGTGTTGAACATAAACTCATTATTGTCTTGTAGTGTAACAAATCAAACATTTATGTGAACGGAGCTTAATTGCTCAATGCTTGATCAGCTGTCTTAGATTAACAGATAATTGAACCAAAGAGCCAAAAACTTTGGCTTCAATAGTTGAAGATGCTAATTTCAAATAACTGACTGTAGTGGTAATTTTTATACGATAGATGGAGTAGATGAAAGTGTAGAGTTGATAGTTCCGTTAGAGTACGGCAGTGTGAAAATTGCATATATATAGTAGAATAGCGAGCTAGGACAACTTTTAAGGAAGGTACAAATCGGTTTTTTCATCTCTCTTTACCAAACTCCCCCTTTGGAGAGGGATGGTGAGGGGTGTTCCCCCTCGAAAGGTACAGTAGCAGCACCTACCCCACCCGTGTCCCCTCGAGATCGTCAAGTCGACGATGACAGGAGCACATATCGTGGTAGGGGTAAACAATAGTTGCAGTTTCCAAACCTACGACTGGATGCCTTCCTTCAAATAACAACTGTAGTGCGATAAAAAATCGGTAGAACTGTTTCAAACACATCGTTGGTACTTGAGCGGTCGGCTTTCATCTCTTTTTGCCAGTGGTGGCGGGGGGGAACACCCTTCACCATCCCTCTCCAAAGGGGGAGTTTGGTAAAGAGAGATGGAAAAAACCGATTTGTACCTTCCTTAAAAGTTGTCCTAGCTCGCTATTATCTATATGCAATTTTCACACTGCCGTACTCTAACGGAACTATCAACTCTACACTTTCATCTACTCCATCTATCGTATAAAAATTACCACTACACACACTAATCGAGTCAGTGAGGTTTTACTGAGTTTTTGAATTGCGGAACTGTTCGGTAAAAGTTTAAAAATCTGTGGAAAATTTATTAATGAGAAAATTTGTTCTGAACTTGTACATACTTAGTTCTGTTAACCCCATTTAATGATAGAAAATAAGGTTGGTCGTTTTCATTGATTCCTTACGGATAACGGTCATTTGAATTTTTACCGACAGTCTGTTATTTGAAATTAGCATCTTCACCTATGTAAATCGTTGACTTCACGCAGAAGTAATACTAAAACATATAGTCAAGGTTTGGCTTCAAGTAAAATGTTGGTGGATGATGTTTATGCCACCGGAGTAGTGCTAGGTAGAGAAAGACGATTTAACGTCAAAAAGGTCTATAATTCAGGCGAAGAGGAAGAAGAGACAACTGACTTATTTTTGTCTGTGACGTGTTCTTCTTCTCCCGCGGAAACGACCGTGCAAAAACTACACGGCGAATGAGAACAACCCAAATTTGAGTTTAGTTCACTCATAATCGCCAAAAGTGCAGGAACTCAGCGATGAGTAAAATTTGTCTCATGGTTTCCTGTGGAAAACCTAAAAAATCTGCCGGAAAATGAGGAAATTGACGAAAATTTTATTCAGTCTCGGAGTAGTACCAATAGACTGAGTGAATCCAATCTTTATTTTTCTCAAAGTTGGGAATTTTTCCCTGGAAAATCCTGAAAAAACCTGGGAAAACATGCGACAAATTTACTCATCGCTGAGTACCTGCACACCAATTTTGTTAAATCTTGTTCGGTACTTTTTTTGCTGGATTTGTTCGGTAAAATGTAATTTTTACCGAATCCTTTGTAAAAAATATTATTTTACCAATTTTCCGCAATCAGAACTGCTGAATTTACGTAATTTACATACATTTACCGAAAACTTGCGGATCGAAACTGTAAAAGGCTGCCATTCCCCAATTCTGTAAAATTTTTGACGAATGTTCTGTAAAAATAATCTTTTACAAACAGAATCAGCAATAAAGCACCGAATTCTGTAAAAGTTACTGAACAGATTTTCGTGCTGTCAAACTCAATATTGGCTGCCATTTCGATGTTGCGTGTCTTTCGGTTCTACGTTGTGAAACGTAAGTACTTTACTTTTAGCTAGATTCCGGGCAATTTATGCCGAAATTATAATTAGTATTATTTCTAGGCCAATTTGTTTCAGACGTCATCGACGTTAGGCATGTCCTCATCTACCGAAAAAACTGCATTTTAGCCGAGATTTTAGCACGGTTTTCTACTGAATCGATCGAGTCCGGGTTCTTTAATGTTTTTTTTTTTTTTTTTCAATTTTCTGTATGAACGAAAGATGAAAATGCCTCTTCAAAAATATATAATTAAAAGGAATGAATCTTTTGGTTTGGTGAAAGAAAGAAACAGTTAATTATTCAATAAAAATTAAAATGTTTATGATTTATTATGAAAATAAAGTACAGTCGATTCGGTAAAAAATATACTGAACGCTATGGTAAACTTTACTGATCTTTCAGTAAAATTTACAGTCCAGGTTAGTAAATTTTGACAGCCCACAAGCGAAGAAAATTTACAGAACAGATTGTAAATAAAAAATTACCGAATGTTCAGCTGTTCCATATTCGGTAAAAAATTACAGTATACTGTAAAAAAATCTTAGTGTGTGCACTTTTGACGATTATGAGTGAACTAAACTCAAATTTGGGTCGTTCTCATTCGCCATGTATTTCATTATGGGCGACGCAGTCGACTGTCAAAATACAAGAAAATAGATTCCCTGTTGTAAAAATTCTTGCGTTTCAATACGTTCACCCGACCAATCAGGCGCTGGTTCGCGTTTGACAGAAAATTGGTTCATAAAAGTCCTCATATTGTCTCCTCTTGCTCTTAGAGTTCAGGTTACTCTGGTCGAACCCATCAGCTGATATGAAAAAGGCGGCAAAAGGATGATGCAAAAACAACAACAAACCGGATATCTGATTTTTTTAATCATTTTAGAATAGGTAGATCGTATGTAACCAAAGTGTGCAAAGTGTGGTTTTGAATCGATCAACTACTACGATTAATTGACTTGGTGGCTAGGCGCATAATTATTTTTTGTGCGGGAATGGGTGTCCTGGGGGTGGTAAGTGTTAATATTGACAAATTGAATAGAAATGTAGTGATGGTTTCAATATTGCATGGTTAAAAGATAATCCTTAAAAAATTACGAAGGTTGAAATTTACAGTAAAAAACGGCCCTCGTAGCGTTTTTTGCCACACCTAGTAGATTGACTATTTTCACCTCACTCGCCGTTACAAATGTAGGTATTCAGTTCAATTTAAAATATACATTACACATTATTTTGAGATTATTCAAAACTGCACTACACTGAAAAAAGTTTTCATATAGTTTCCATTGGGAACGCACATGATATTTTTCCAATAACAAAATTAATTATTTTTACCTGAAATACACATAACATTAATATGATCACATGAATTCTATGTGATAAATCACATAAACTTCATTGGACACATAAGGTTTATGTGATTTTGTGGTGCGATTCCCAATTATGAGATCACATGAAAGTTATGCGAAATTCTAATGGATATTTTCCATCGGAAATGTGATTTATTTTTTGAGTGCATAATATGATACTATAGGGGAACTAGGGGCATTATGAACACCCGGGGCAGATTTGACACCCCCTATATTTTCCAAAATATTTTTTTTTTCAATTTAGATGCAACAGATATTTCGTTCCGCATCTGAATGAGTAATTTAACTAGTGAACTAATTTCAATGTGTTCCTTATCACCGTGAATTCTTGAAAAAAACGCACGGACTTGCTGTGTGCTGAAAAATTATAATTCTCTGTATCACCAAATAAGATGTAGCGACGGTAATTAGACTGCAATTATCGTTTGTTTTGGAATATTCAATTGTTTTTGTTGTTGTCGGCCTAAATGTCCCTAATCTGGGTCCATACATAAATTCAGCAGTCGACTAAATTTTCAATAGCGACCAAAAATATCCATTAGTACCGTCCGAATGTTCATCTAGATAAAATTGATAAATAGCAGATTTTTAGCCATGGGCTCAATCTTAGATGCATAGGTCGATATTTCCCGTACATTGAAATAATAAAAAAAAAACGAACGATAAAATATCTTCTCCCGTTGGTTTAAATGTAATAACAAATTTTCAAATTTTTTTTTAAGTAAAAAGGTATTTTTTATTTATTTTTTTTCAATGAGCAACTGTTGCTAAATTAGTGACAAAAGTGTGTAGTACAGAACACAGGGATATTTTGATTCCTATCGAGTAAAACTTGGGAAAATCCTTAGGGTGTCCATAATACCCCTAGTTCACCTACGGTATAAGCTGAGGCAGACATCAATTAAGAAATTTTTTTAGAAATATTTCATGGGCATATCAGCACTGAGTTTTGGTTATACAAATCTAAACTTTTCACTCAGAGTACTTCCAGAGCATGAAAACCAACTTGTTTATGTTTAGCAGAACAATTTCAATGGCAGTCTTGAAAACATAAAAGACAAGTCCAAGCGACAGTTACAGAAGACCTCATCTTAGGTCATGTCGACCTAAAAAACCTTTTATGTAGATCCAGAGGAGCCCAAATCAATCTGGAAGCACCCTAAGGTCAATATTATTAATAGTAAATCTAGAGTTCAATCCAGATTTCCGTAGTTCAAACATTGTTCAAATATTCCAATGATTTCAGTGATAAGTTCGCAAATCCTTTAAGGCTAGCGGAATGAAGACAAGACTCGACTTTGTAATACATTCAAGAGATCTCGAGCAAAAGTTTAGGAAAGCTCAACTGTTCACAGGGATCTGTTCTGAGAGTTCATTAAAGATTCGAGACCAACCCTTCATATACTTTCAACCTTCCCTGTAATTTCCGAACTACTTTCACGTGAAGCTTGCTGGTATGTTATACTAAAATTAAACATATGAAAAGCTAACTTAGTATGAATAATTAATAAGCAACTTTCCAATAACGAAGCAATCCATTTCCGACCGTGATTTGAACCAAGAGAGTAAAAAAATATGTAACGTAAAAGATTCGAAAAAAGAGGCATATCGGTAAAACAGAAGTGTGTTACCCTAAATCCATCCATAATGCGATCGCGAAGGAACGGTGGCGGCGGCGGCGGTGGATACGGATCCCTGGCGTACATCGGTCGATCGCGGAATCTACTTTCGGACCAGAGCAGGCGCGGACACTCCTTGGACCAGTGACCAGAGCGGCCACACCGGTAGCACTGCTCCGGATCACCCATGCCAGGTTTTGGCCGAACCCGGCTGGTGGACACCTGTACCTTCATCGGTTGACCGTCCACCATCATACCGTTGAGTTCACGGATCGCTTCGTTAACATCGCCGGTCGGATCCAGATGGACAAACCCGTAGTTGCGCACGATATCACACTCGACGACGGTACCGTACTTTTGAAACAGTTCGCGAACTTGCGGAGCGCGTGTAACGTCGGTCAAATTGCCTACAAAAATCTTTGTCGTGTTTGTATTCGGCGCGCGACGATTCCTGGCCGCTTCCACCTTGATCGCTTTACCGTTGACCACGTACCCGTCCAGATTCTGAATCGCATCTCGGCCCTGATCCTCGTTTTCCATGTGCACGAAACCGTAATTTTTCACCACATCGCACTCGACTACGGTTCCGTACTTTTCAAAGAGCGGCCGCAAATCGGAGGGTTGCGTCTTTTCGTCGACGTTGCCGATGAACAATTTGAATGTTCCGGAACCCGGCATTTTGCTATCCTACGCGTCAACTCTTTCCGGTAGTTTTCGTTCGGCGATACACGAGTTAGCTTTCGCACACGCTATGGCCAATCTACGGGGACACAAACATACAACAACAATAACCATTTTTCCGTACAATCTTACTAATAAATAAACCTAAAAAAGCAACTAAAATTTACTATATTTTGCTAGCACGTAGCCAGATGAAAAATCTTTGCTTTTAACACCAATGAAAATGAAAATGGCCGATCACAAAATCTGACGCGTATTACTTCACCACTCGAAAGTTCAGGATTTTTCGCGTTGATCTTCGTCACAAATAGGACGACAAGCCACTTAATACGTACACCCACTTGGAGTACTTACCGGCAGCAGAGGATTCCACACACTTTGAATTGATATTTGCCGACACTTTTCTGTAATTATCAGTTTAAAATTTTCAACTTTCAAGAATCAACCTTGCCGACCTAATGGACGCCGCAAGAGAGAAAGGAGTAATATTTTTTTGCCTTCGTGGTGCCCGGGTTTGAGCCGAATCCACGGAGATAATGAATGAATGTGTGCGTGATTTTAGTTTGACAGGTAGAAGAAGAAAGAAAAATAAAGCCCAAAGACGAGTGAGCCAAACGTTAAAATACGGTGTAATCGACACGGCTAAACCTACACTCATAAGATTTTCAAATCTAAATAGATTAAAAGTTACGCTAACTCGAAACTCTCCTGACCGACGCATAGCTCGGTATAAAGAGAAAGAATACAAACTTCCCGACCAACCATTTCGTTAATATTCTTTAATTTTCTATACATCGATCTTCAAAGCCATTCATAAGAAAATCGATAGCGATCGTCACCATTTCATGAATAATTGTAAAGATGCTAAAAGTCTAATCGTGAATCGTGTATAAAGATCTTTCTCAAAATATTGCTACCAATCGTTACCAATATTAAAATATCGATTGTGTTGCCAGATCAAAATATCGATTTCTGTTGTAAAATCAAAATATCTATACTCAACTGCTGATTTTATTTGTGATTTTTTTATCTGCATAATTTCTAGTTTCGATCCCATGCCATCTGGGGTGTACTGATTTCGTTGTTGGTTGCTAATCCTCGGGTCTACGGCTGCTGTTTATGAGCTTATCAACGACAGGCAAAACACACTCTAGTATGTGGTGTATTGAAATTTCTGTAAATCTTTTCATACATGAATTCAATATTTATATAAATGTATTTGTCATAACCATCAACCAGTCAGCCATGTAGGTGTAATAGAGGTCAAAAAGGTATCAATTTTCCTCATTGGGTTTCCAAATGCCGAGAATCCCACCACGCATGCTATCACGGGTTATTAAATATATAGACGTAAACTTGAAGAACTACAATGGTAAACATTTGCTGCGTCGTGGCCATCGATCTTCTCGTTTATTTACCGGCAAATTGCTTCTTCTGATGAAATGCCGAATTGTCGATAAATAATATAAACATTGCCATCTGTCACCTGGTGTGTCTCGAACTCTCTTTAACCAGCGATGCAAATCGATAACAAGGAGATTATAAATGTGCATCGATGGCAATCTTTGTTGTTCTTTGTCAAAGTTCAAAGTTACGATGATATCAGTATTTAAATATTTATTGATGAATATTTGTAAAGAATACTTAAGTCCATGTGACATATCGAAATTAAAAGAAATTTAGTATGGCACCTTTAAAGATTACTATCATATGACTGATGAAGAAATAATCTTAAATGTAAGTATCGATCAATAAAGATTTTTAAATGCGTACATCGAAATCATAGAAAATTTAAAGTAAAGAATTGCCGACATTAATCTTTATTTCTGTATAAAGAACTTTGAAGAAGTTTCACGAACGGTTGGTCGGGTTAGTTTAAAAATGTTTATTCCGCCAAATTTATTTATTTATTTATTTATTTATTATTCTCTTCATCGGACTTTTGTTGTCTGAATGAAGATTGATGGGGAAAAGCCTATTTGGAAAATATGTGCGCAAATACGCGTAAAAACCCCATATCTTTTCAAAATACAAGGAACAATATAAAAAGGACAGAAAAACACATCAATTATAAAAATAAACACCAAATAATAATAATAATAATACTATGGTCTTCATCATAAAATAAAAAATAACCTCGTCCTATGGCATGGAGTTGTCCTTGAATCAGTCGAGGCCGTCATCGCAGAGTTGATCGGGAACGAAAAAGGAAACAGGTAGCAAAATTCATCAGATGTACATTAATGGACAGCTACTCACCGTCTTGCAACAATTTGCTGATTGAAAGCAGTTGCATGTGTCGAACCGTATCGTCACCTATCCAGCAGACTACGTTGAATCCGTTGACGAAATGTTTCCACTGTGCAGTTGAAATCGAAAAAAAAAAACATAGAATTCATTGAAACGGGCAGACATGAACCGTATTGGATCATGTAATCCGTAATTAGCTGCACGGGGTCCGAGATGCAGGAAACTTCTCGATCGTAGAACTCGTTCAGGTGCATAGATTTCGAGTTCAGTCAAAATCCCGGGATAGTCGATTTCGCTTATCAGCACTTTTGCAACAAATGTTTTAATTCGAGTATGCAAATCATGTTTAAAGGGAATTTATTTCGGGAATAGCATTTTTTGTTGTTCTGTCATGCTTCTTGATTCTTAACATTTATTTCGGCAACAAATTAGTGCCACACAACCAAATTTATTCATTTCTTATTAATTATCCAGAATTTTACAATCGCTTATGGCCGCTACAATTTGCTTGAGTTTCTGGTAGGGAACATAAGATTTGAAGTTTTTACCGAGGGGGGCGACACATCTAAAATGGCATGTAGATAGCAGACAAGATGAACCTCGTTTTTAAGATCAGTGTACTTTTAACAGATTTCACTTCCTACCTTTTGCTGCGTTCGCTGCATCTACTTTTTCGATGCTGCAAAAGATTTAGAAGATTAAAGCCGATTTCAAGGTAGATGGCAGAACAGCGGTTGGGATTTCTCCAGGAAAATGCATTAGAATCTGAGTACGTACCGAAAAATGCTCGCCTTATAAAAATTCAAAGGACCTGAACGCTTGAAATTATGTGTTAGTAGCTTGGTTAGCAATGATATTATAATGGATTAAATTATGTTTTTGTGTGAATCTAGTAGACACAAAACTGGGCCAGCGGTGATTTTTTATTGACATGGTTGGATCAGTGATAAATGATTGCTGCTTGGCTGTGGCCCTCGTTGTGGCCACTTCTATTTTATGTTAACTATATACGTCAGCTGCAACACCGCAAAACAACTAGGATGTTACTCTTTACTTCAGGTAAATTAGTTTAACTTTCCATAAATAATGCATGTTACGTGTTTACCTCAGCTAACTTTTGATGAAATAATTGTTAGAAATCAATAATAACGAAACAAAATTTCCGGAGAAAGTCAGTTGTTAAATGAATGGATGTATGTAGGTACTTTAGAAAAGCGTAATTGTTTTAACGTTATTTTAGGATTCATCCCTACACAAATAGCACACGGAATTTCCAAGGATCTGTCTCAAGCACGCAACAGTCAGTAAATAACCATCAAGGTCCACCTGCACGCATCATTCGTGAAGGCTCGGATGTAGGTCCAAAATTGAGAGCAAACCTGTCGAGTCGAACCATTCCATGGCTAGATTGCCGATTCAAAATACATGTTTAGTGAATCAACACAGAAAAACACTATTTTCGTTAAGCATGTCTACAGTGAAATATCATCCAAACTAACAAGATTTTTCTATTTCAGAATTTCATGAGGAAATTGGTTACCTTCATCAATGGTAAAAATAGACATCAGCTATTTATACTTAATTACAATAAATTTAGGCAAAACTTCTACATGATACAAATATTATGTAGTTCATTTAGCAAAAAAAAAAGTTGTCCTTCTCTACTCATTACTCAAATTTTCTAATGGATTTTACGTTAAAAGTGATAATTTATTCTCTAATTTGACCAAACTACCATTCCTTCCTTAAACGAAGACTTCAGAAAAAGAACCGAAGTGACGTTTATAAAGCGGATTTGTAGTCATAAGCTTCTTCTAAAGTTTGTAGAACTTCTTCCACAAATGTTGATATGTCTCAACCATCAATTTCATGATCTCTTTAATGTTTATGAATTTTGTACATTGTACATTCTTTGTGTCCTCCACATTGTTTTACCAATATATTTATGAATTTGCGATTGTCATATTGTTATAAGATTTAAACATGTATTATTGTATAATGCTGTTTCATTACACATCATGGATTCAAGAACGAGTATAAACGATAATAAACAACTCTACATGTTGTGTTTTTTTTCACAGCTTCTGGGCCTGTCGAATCAGGAGCCATGTTGTACACGTCAATATTTTTTAACCGTTACACGGGTGTATCTACCTTCTATGTGAAAAAAACGGTGGAAAAAATAGTATAATATTGGAGGCCAATTCTGCTCTTTTCGAAAAAATATAAGATAATTCAGTGCTCATTAGAGCGAAACTGTTCTTGTAAACCTTTGTAAACAATGAGTTCAACCTTCAATTACTCGCAAATCTTTTATTTGCTCACTCCTATAAATTAACAATGCAAGCTGGTAGAAGAAGCAATCCTCTATCTGTTGGTGTCGTTACTTTGCATGTTTCATTTTTTATTCGAGAAAAATCGACGATTAAAGTCAATGTTTATAAAAGCAATTTTGCCCAATGAAATGTTGTTATAGAATGGACGATTAGGTTGAAGTATTATACTGCACTTTGATGCTTAACGAAAGCGAGAATATAGAATCACGAACATCACCTCACGAACACCATTATTAAAAATGTTAAAATGAACGAACAATATGTAGTTATGTTTCTTACTTTGCTGTACTATACTTTCTCATAATGGTCACCTATTTATAGTAACAAATAATAATTTGTAGTTAGTAAAATAGTTGGCTTTCCATTTTTTTTGCCTGAGGTTACAGAGATGAACATGAACTCGTCTAATTTTACATTCATTATCGTATGTTAAACTAGACAAGGGTCGTGGATACAACGTCTATTCATAATGAGTCAGGTAACACAATAGAACAAAACATGTTTCATATAGTCTAAAATAGTATTTACTTTTAATCTCCGGAGACGAACCAGCCCAGGGCTAAAAGTCTCCTTAATAAAGATAAAAAAAAAAAAAATTTACTTTTAAAATGTTTTTTATGAAGTAATGAAATAAGGTTGTTAGCGGAATGCTTTAAATAAAACAGCAAAAAATGTTATCTTTCATTCGATTCCACTTTATTAATTTTGGTATCCATGACAGATACGTATTTCGACTACAATGGTTGGTTGGTTGGTTGTCTTTATTAAGGAGATTTTCGGCCAGATGCTGGTTCATCTCCGGCCCTACAATGTTCAGTCTTCAGTCTTATCACAAACCTTAAGTATTCATCCCCTAGATAAAAATGTCAAGATCACA